AAGATTTAGGAACTTGATTATAGATTTGGGGTAAGTATTTGGGGCTAAGCTCGACACATAGTAATACGGGTGTTGTTAGTTTCAAAATCTTATTGTGATTATTTATTTGAATAGATTGCATTGATTTGGAACCCCAGCGAAAGGGGGAAGACTCAAGTCCCGAAGTGATTGTTCGATTATTTGAGGCAAGTGAACTTCTCAGCCCTTGTTAAGTGTATAGAATCGTGTATTTCCTTGTGGTATGTGTTGGGGAGTAATGAGACTTGGTGACACTACAAAAACACCCCAAATTGCCAACAGATTTTACTAACAACTTAAGTTGGTTAGTATTCTACTAACAAATTACCAACATATTTCTAACTGAATTATATTTTAAAACTTAACAACGAAATTCTAACAGATTACCAACCAAAATCTTACTAACTAAGTATTTTAGTTGGTAAATACGGCGGGAAAAAATGGCGCCAAATTTAGCAACATTCTATCAGTGGATTACCAACTGAAATATTACTAACGCACACCTTTTGTTGGTAATATTACCAACGAAGTATATATCGGTTGGTAAATATGACAAAAAATGTGTTTATTTAATTTATTAACATATTACCAATGAATTACTTACCAAACATTTACCAACGGCAAGATTGTGTTGCTAAATTTACCAACCAAATATAAATGTGTTGGTAAATTAGTAACGAAATGTAATTTGTTGGTAAACTTGCCAACCAATATCCAATTAGTTGAAAATTTTGCCGACGAATAAAGATTGTAGTTAGTAAATTACTAACATCATTAAAATAGTTGGTAATATACCAACCGATCATTAATCCATTGGTAAAATTTACCAACATATTAATTATTAGTTGGTAATATTACATATGAATGTTTAGTTGAATAGTAACTATTACCAACCGTGATAAAATTTATTGGTGAATTATTAAATACTAACTTATATTTGAATAGTTGGTAAATTTATCAATTGAAGTTAAATTTTTTGGTAAATCAGCGTCTAGTGTTGAAATAATAAGTAAATTTAACGATATAACACTGAGTCAATATTTTCCCCCGAATTTAAGCTTTAGTGATATATTTAATGATAGATATCAATTGTTATTTTGTAAAGAATCTAGCATTTAATAATAAATTTATCTTTACTTATATAATGTTACATTCACTAATAATATTATAAAGGTCATTTTTTACCTAATAGGATGGTTTATTCGGGTTTTGAGCCTTTCATTTTTAGTGTGTGCCGTTAGGTGTTTTAACTTACAAATTT